TATATATATATATATATATATATATATATATATATATATGTATATAAATATATATATATATATATATATATATATATATATATATATATATATATATATATATATATATATATATATATATATTGTTTTGGGGTTTCCGATCGCAGTAGCCACAAGCGAGGGTAAGGGCAAAGGAAAGGGAAAGAGAACATGAGAGGTGAAACGAGCGGCAGTGGAGGCGGGGAGGCCGGGCCGAGCTCCCGGTCGGCGGCGGCGGTGGGGGAGAGGAGGTTCACCCCGGCGGCACAGCCGGAGATCATGCGGGCCGCGGAAAAGGATGATCACTACGCCGCGTACGTCCACGACGCCTGCCGCGACGCATTTCGCCACCTCTTCGGTCAGCTGGATTTGCCTTCCTCTCCTAAATCCCCCCGCCGTTCCACATTCTTTTAAGTCAGTCGTTGCTTATTTGTGTGGTTGCTCTCTTGTTTAGGCACCAGGGTTGCTGTGGCATACCAGAGCGAGGCAAGTCTCGTTGCTAAAAGATGCCCTTTTTTCTTCGTTTATTCGATTTTCTCATTGTTAGCTCAAATTAGGGGACTCAATACTATAGAAAGAATCAATTGAACAAAAGTTGCAACATGTACTGGATGACAAATCAAAAAATAGATTTCTTACTCACCTGTTGTTTGTGCATCTATTGAAATAAAATCTCTTTGTTGATTTGACAAAGAATCTGGGTTTGCACAGTGAACAAGTATAAACAAAACAACTTATACGAAATTCACCTTGGCGGTTCTTCACTGGTGAACTTCCAGTTCTAGCTCACCAAAAAAGAAAGGTGATTATTTAAGTTTGGATGCACGATAGAAAAATTGGAGGCCTTGAGACTGCTCTGCGGCCTTCCATCCTCATCTTTATAATCTCTTGCTCATCTAATGCCATCGGGTTTGTTTTCCTCAAATTATTACGTGGTTATTATATAGGAAGGCCACTACAGGCTCATGTGAGTTCCAAAAACTTGGGGCTCCTGTTGTAAATCTTCCTATCCCTCATCCAAGATCGTTTATCATATGTAGTAGATTTGGACTTGACATTCTAGGTACCTGCATGATGTACTTTTGCAGAAATCATGGCACAAAGTTTTTAATTAATCAGTCAATTTCTTGTCTGAGTTACTGTCAGTTTGCTTTTGGGCTGCTTTATCATATAAAGAGAAGTTATTAATGTAAGTTTAACCTAATATCACTTCATCTCTTATTTAGAATGGTGTTATCAAGAGATAAATGGAAGAGAATATATAGAACCTCCTAAGCGATTGTATACATGAATCGAGATACTCACCAGGTTCTGTTATATCTTAGGCTTGTCCAAAATCATCATCCCATTTTGCAAAGAAGATTTACCTAAATACTTTGATTTTTTATGTAAGTTAAGCAGTTTTTCCTTTTATATTGTCTATCATGGGTGATGGGTTTATCATCTCATGCCTTACAAGAAGATCCGTAACTCGCTAGACTTTGTTCATTTTAAATTAAGCATATACATGAATCGAGATACTCATCAGGTTCTGTTATATCTTAGGCTTGTCCAAAATCATCATCCCATTTCACAAAGAAAATTTACCTAAATACTTTGGATTTTGTTTATGTAAGTTAAACAGTTTTTCCTTTTTTATTGTCTATCATGGCTGATGGGTTTATCATCTCATGCCTTACAAGAAGATCCATAACTCACTAGACTTTGTTCATTTTAAATTAAGCATGCCAAGCGTCTGGCCAGAATCAACACCGTGACAAGTAATTTAGTTATATGGCTGTGTAGTTGTTTTCAGTGTTTGAGAAATGATGTTGACAATCAACATACTAATGCCTGGAACAATGGTTGCCTCTTTCTTATGCTAGGCTACTACTACAAATCGTCATAAAACAAATAAAGGAGTTCATTCCTTGGAATTTGGATGATACTATGATAGTACTTTACTCCATTCCATTCTCTTCATTATTGCAAGGGATATCACTGTTTATCTTTGTTAAATATCCTGCAGATAAAGCTATTAGGCCAGACACTTTACTATATATTGACAACTGGTTCTGGACAGCAGACTCTGGGGGAAGAGTATTGTGATGTTTGTCAGGTATATGCATCTTGCTGCATTGATGATAATTTTGTTCTTTTGTTTTGCTGGGCAAATAATTGGCACTTGTTTTATTACTTGAATAAATACTTTGAGAGTCTCTTCACAGTGTGACACCATATACATTTATCATTCAGCACAGGAATATTTGAGCAAAATGTCATTTATAAGCAAGGGCTAAGAAATAGATTACTTTGTGAACTTCTCTCTCTATTTGATATTCATATTCACTTTTAAAGACAGGAAATGACACATGGTCCAGTCAAATTTTTTATTTTTGATTGAGAGGAAAATAATACAAATATATTATATGAGAGATACGTTTCCGGCTTCTCAGTTGACTCTTCACATGAAGCCTATTTTTCAGATTTTAGAAGAATGTAGTTATAGATATTTAGTTCTTTCTTATGTGTGGTTCATGCTTTTGAGATGATAACACTCGTGCCTCCCTTGTAAACAGGTTAGTCAATTGGTTTGGATGTTTAATCTTTCTAACGAGGACATGAAAACAAAGTTGTTAAGATAAAATCTGAACAGTTGCTACGTATCTCTAGTCGATCATAATGATTTTGTCTTATTAAATTATTGTGAATTAGTCATTCTTTAGGTTCTTAGACTCTGCTAAGGCATTTTGATTAAAAATATGATTCTTGAATGTCCAGGAAGAATAATCATTTCCTTTCTTTTTCAGTAGGATCTAATCTATTTTGGAACAAACAGCTGGTACTATTTACCTTTTCTTTACTTTAACTCATTGGACTCAGTACAGTAATGGGTTGCTTAATTGCCTATGACACTATATCTCGAATGAGAAGAAGTCTTTATTTGGTCCAAGAGAAATGTTTTAGGACTGCCTTTTTCTTTGTTGATTTAAGAGATTTAATGCAAACGATGCCTAGTAGACTTTGCAAAGCTGGTTGAGTAAAATGTACTTACAAAATTAAATTATAAAGCAGAACCGTGCTTTCGCATATCCGAAAGTAATTAACAAATTTGGTATTTGTGGATATTTAAGAGATGAGCTAATCCTGACTTTGTAATTGGATCATTTAGGTTGCAAGTTCTTACGGATTGTCACCGACACCAGCAAGACGAATGCTTTTTATTGTATACCAGACTGCAGTTCCTTATCTTGCAGAAAGAATCAGGTCTGGTGGTGTTCTGTTTTCTCCTTTTTTGTTGCATTTGCTTATTGGACTACACAATCCTTGATGTTGTAAAAATTTCCTTAGGCTACTTGTCCCACTAATCCATAACTATCTTACAGCTCTAGGATGGCTGCCCGTGGTATCATTTTGGCTGAATCACACTTTGATGAGATTTACGGAAACAACAACCCAAGAAGAGCCCAAGTACAAATTTCTGATACTCCCGAGAGCTCATCTTCAGCAACTATGTCTTTATCAACTATATCAAGGTTGAGAGAGAATATCCATGGTTTATGGTTGTGGATACTTCAGAAGTGGCCGTCGGTACATCAATAACACATCCTAGCTGTCTGCTGATATTGCTAATTCATTTTTATTTTTTAAGCAGTATCATTTATCATATATTCGGTCAGACGACAATATGTTTACAACATGTACTGAGGGTTTTTTTTTGCTCTTGTTAATTGTTGGGTTAAACATTTAACTGAATATTTTTTTATATGAAGCATGAAATCATTATTTCTATAAAACGTAGGTGCTTCCATTTGCTCGTGAGGTTCTACAGTTGGCTCTTCGTACAAACCTAATGTTTTTTTACTTTGAAGGTAACTCCATGTTGCACAAATACTTGAACCAATCAGAATTTGCTTGTCTCAAATATTTAGTTCTAAAGCGAACTAGCTAACAAATAATTTAATTCTACATTCTGCTTATGTGTTTTTGCAACTTCATGCAATTAATTTTCTTTCTATCATGTATGCTTTTCAGGATTGTATTATCATGTGTCAAAACGTGCAGCAGGCATCCGCTACGTTTTTATTGGGAAGCCATCAAACCAAAGGCCTAGGTACCAAGCCACTGAATTTAAGATGCTTTCTAATATGCCCTAATTTTCAGTGGTTTTTTTTAATATTTTTGTGTTTTGTTTACAAAATGTAGTCAGCATTTTTCTTAAATGTGATTATGATTTAGAGAATTCTATCCTGGCATGCCTTCTGCAGATACCAAATTTTGGGTGTATTCCTTTTAATTCAGCTTTGTATTCTTGGAGCTGAAGGATTACGGAGAAGTAATCTGTCTTCAATTACAACTTCTGTTCATCATACATCTCTTGGAAGCCACCAGTCATCCTCAGGTAGGATATCTGTTCTCTGATTATCTCTGTTTTTAAAAGTCATCTGATAAAACTTATAATTGGTTTTACTCATTTAATGCAAACTTATATGCTGTTCAACAGAAGGTCTAGAAAAGGTCTTAGTTGTCTCAAGCAGTGCTGAATGTTAAGAGTTCATTTGGAGGGAGGAAAAGCAGACACTAAATCCATGCATCTTCTTCATATGCTTAGGACACCATGAAGTTTAACACTTAAGGAGAATTTGGAGAAGAGATATTATCTTTCTATTTTACATCTTAAAGGTTGAAGATGGGAAGGTAGTGAGCAAAATCTCAAGCTTTAAATATCTAAATGTTATTGTCCAAAACTCTAAGGTTGGACAATTCAGTGTGAATATTGTGTGATGATGGAATTTGTCCAAAGAATTGGAGGGTCCAATTCTTCAAGACTCATAATATAATTAAATAAAAGGACATAATAATCATGTTAATATTAAGATGGAGAGTGCTGAAAGTGAATATTCACAAGATAAACATGATGATACCAATACTAACATGATGATCGTGTTCATTAATTTATTGTAAAAAATGTACTGTCATTAAAAATAAATTTGTAGATTGTAAGATGACTTTTAGTGTAATAGTGAAAAAAAAAATTTCATGATTTTTTGCTAGGGGCCCTTTGTTTTAGATGGCCAATACTAACATGGTTTTAGATGGCCCTTTGTGAAACTAATCCTCCAGACACTAACACGGACTTGGGGACCGGAGTGCTTTAAAAAACATAACCAAATAGTGATTTGTGTATTTTTCATTAGAAAAGAGGTATCTTTATCATTACTGATAGCAGAACAACTAACTGAACTAGGTGTTGTGAAGGGAAACATGTCTGTGTCCTTGATAGTGTGACATTAATAGCACATCACCATTTTCAGTGTCTTGCTTTCTTTTAGTTCTCTTGTAACCAAAGTTTCTCCAAATAATTCTCATTATTTTTTACTGTATGTTTGACCAGTACTTAATTGAAGAAACAAATAGATGATCAGTTCAACTTAGCTGGAACTTTTAGCTGTCCATTTGTGCATCTGCCTATGGTAGGTTTTGACATATTAATGTACTGCAGGTCGAGATTTGCCTGTTCTGAATGAAGATGGCAATCCGATTCCTGATAATAACTCTAATAAAGGCAGTTGGGCCACTGATTCCTTTGCTCTTTCGGAGGTACTATTCTTTCAAGCAATGTTATGTATGCCAGCACTTGCATAAATACACATTTGCAATAAATCTCTTGCAGTGCACTTTATATTGGTGTACAATAAACTTTTAAGTTGGTCATCAGAAAGCACAAATACTTGACTCTTGACAGAGGATATTTGTGATTAATATCAATTATGTGCTGCTATTTACCTTTGGTGTTGTCTCTAAAGAACTATACAGAATTTCTTTTGCATCTAATGATATGAGAGATATTGTTAGTAATAATAAGTTATTTTTTTTCTGGTTTCAGCCCCAGTCATCAGGTGGCATGAGCAAATGTACCCTTTGCCTCAGTTCACGCCAACATCCTACAGCAACACCCTGCGGCCATGTCTTCTGCTGGTACTCCACATATCTTAAATCTTAACTTATCCAGAAAGTTCTTGTTTTGTGTTCTCAGGGATATTAGATAGTCATTCTTGTAAGAATCAACATATCTGATAGACATCCAACATATGAGTTCATTACCCTGTGGTGGTTTACCTCAGGGACAGAGATATTGTAGGGTTATAAATGTGGGACCATCTTTAACAGAATTCTTTTTTGAACCAATTCACTTGTGGTAAGGCTTGGCATGTTACAGGTGGGTGTATTCTTTTATGGTATGTTAATTTGACAGTAGCTATAATATCTAATGATCTAATTGTAATGACATTATTATTTATTTTCATCTGAAGACTTATTACACAAATATAATAAAAGCACTGCATGTGACAAATTTTTCTATGTTTATGGGTTTGACAATGACTAAACTGGATTATATGGCTTGGAATCAGTTGGTATTGATTTTTTTTTTATTATTTCAGTGATATCACATAGTACAAGTAGATATATTGCCAAGTACATTGGCATTGTGTCATTCTCATAAGGTGTCAAAATGGGTAGACCAAGATTTTAAATCTTGCCCTGTTCTATACATTATTGAGGTAGATAAACTTAAACAAAAATATTGATATGATGATTCTTGGATTTTCTTTTCCTCTATGGGAATTACGAGTTCCCAATTGTGTGTTTATGTGCAATGAAAATTATGAGATTCAAGGTTTCCACTTGATCTTTTATTTTCTACTCCCCTCAGTTTTCTTTTTTCTAATGACCTTATTCTGGGGACACCTTTTGTGGGGTCTTCTGGGATTTGCTTTTACTGCATTCTATTTTCAAATTTTGCGAGAAAATGGTGACCGACTTTGATGCTTCTGTTGTTCTCAAAAACTAAGTTCTCTTTGAAGTAACAAAGCATCTCCTAGACAGTAGTTTCTTTAGAGATTGATCGCTATTGCTCATTAAAGACAATTGCAACTTTGTTAGATTCTAGCGAAATTTCAGAATTTTCACATATTTTCGAATTAGCTGTATTCATGCTTGGTGAGCCAACATATTTGAGTGCTGGTGTATCCAGTGGTTCATGTTGTTGTGTATGTTGCTTGCAGGAACTGCATCATGGAATGGTGCAATGAAAAGCCTGAATGCCCGCTCTGCCGAACTCCCATAACTCACTCAAGTTTAGTTTGCATATATCATGCTGACTTTTAACACCAATTGGTCCACAATGCAATTTGGAGAAGAAAAAAATTCAATTTTGTATTCGACGGAACTGGGGGAAGATGTCAATGAACACCAGTCACCAGATGAGACAAGCCAATCACCACTTCAGAATGTGCAAACTTGAGCAAGCTTTGACTTGGAGCAGTTCAAGAAGCATGCTGATGGCACTCAGGCAAAGTTGCATCTCCAGTCAGATCGACAAAAGGTCACGATGCTTGGATGATGATCGTCTTCATAAATTTTATAAAAATTTGGATTCATTTGCATGTACTAGTAAAGATTCAGTGTTGCAATCATAACAAAACTGTTTGATAAATGTAACTAGTGCATTTTTTTAAAAAATAAAACATAAAAACTATCTGCTTTATTGACTTTTGTTATGAGAAGATTTATCGAGCATTTATCTGATGAATGGTGACTGGTGCCATCTTTTTGTAAAAGAGTAAAAAGATCTTTTTTATTGACTTCTTTCAATAACATTCCCATTGTTTATTTTTTATGCATTGATGGCACTCCCCAACAAGGGAATCAAAGAAAAACAGTAATAGATAGAACTCTTTTTATCTCAAAAGGATAAAAGATAATTATTGGTATGTTGTTCACTTTATCATGAAATATTGTGCTTTGAGTATATAATTTTACATGTAAAATGCTATATTAATTGCAAATACAAACACATGGAACATCTAGATAAGTACTGCAATGAGGATAGTGAGGACAAGAAATAGATGTTCTGATGTGCACATCTGAGGAAGATGGCTCAACATTGATCCCTTCCTATACATTTCAAAACAATCAAGCAAAAAAAAAATCAATATTTGTCATGTTAATTACCATCTTCCTGTGGTTTTTAATTCATCTTAAAGTATCATAGCATTGATTTCTAATCCATCCGTCAACAAACATTTTGTTGGCGATTACATTTTCTCCTGTGTCGAATGGACCACATTGGCGTATGTCATGCACCAAAGTCAAAAGTCCTCGTAAACATTTCCTCTTTTTGCTTTAATGGTCGACTACTTTTGTTGTTTTCTGTTGCAGATGCCAAATCCATGTCGGAAGTCAAACAAGCAAAGAAATAATTATTGGACGAACTCTCATTCATATAATCGATTATATTTTAGTTGACAATGGGAACAAAACACTATGGTAAGACTGCAACAGTAGAACTCAATCCCACCACACAAATGACTTGGAAAAACTTCACCATTTTGGTATTTTTTTGGGTAACAATGCAAGGAATAAGAAAAACACAGAAGAACTTCACCTTCAAGTTCAAAATTGTTGAATATGTTTTCCTAGTTTGATCCCTACATTTCTAATGCTCATATAATAATACTGCAACTGTTCTTTTAATGTAAAAGAAAAATGAGAGAAATCTCTCTTTAGCAAAGAATAATCCAAGCAAAGCTTACATCTATTCTCTCTCTAGAAGATAGTGTTGGAGGCATGTGAGAATAATGATCCCACTTGGATTAAATAAATATAAGGTGGCAAACTAGTGGTCAAATTGATGATATTGGCCCATTACTAATAGTTTTCTCTGGATATCATGGCATTGAAGCTCACATCGATGCCTTTACATATAGTGCTTAGTGCTACAATATTATAATAAGAAGAAAAACATATTACAAGAAACAGATTTTAGCTCAAAGTTGTTCTTTTAGAAAAACCTTAATTTAATCTAAAACCTTAATTGTTAGGATCGAGAGCACTAAGAGGGGGGGGGTGAATTAGTGCAGCGGATATTTTTCAGCGATTAAAAACGAAAG